CCAATGTATGATCATAGAGTTTGGAAAACAAGCGCAGAAAAAGTGCATAAAATTTATTTCGGCTTTATATCGTTTTTCTTATAAAACATATATGATGTAAAATTAATTTGGGATTGAGAGACAACAGAAAAGAAAGGAAGTGAGCGGGGAGGAGCGGAAGCCGGGAGGAAAAGGGCCGCGGAGGTACAGAAGAAACACATGGGATGGGACAGAGAGGGGCCCAGCACCAATGAGTGCTATTTCGGCCGCATAGGACAATCAAGTAGGGACGGGGATCAAATATTTGTTACAAGGAGTTAACTAATCTACAAGTCCTTATAGTTTTAACTGGTTTTGAATCAGATTGTTGTAGTTTTTTCCTTTTTATCAAATCTTTATACTTTCACATGTTTTTAATTAGGTCCTTGTACTTATTTTTCTTTTTATTAAGTCCTTATAATTTCACTAAATCTTTAATAAGGTCCATGTAGTTTTAATTTTTATTTATTAATTAAATATAAACTTAATTAAATAGATTAATACTGAAATATAAAATATTAATAATTAAATTAAATTAATAATTATATAATAAAAATAAGTAATATAAATAATTAATTCAGGAAAATTTTTCGGAACAATTAAATTTTTTGTTGAAAAAAATAAAATTATTATAATAATTCATTATTTTTAGAATATTATTGTCTATAAACTAATATTAAATAATATATACTATTTTATTTTTATAGAATAGTACTGTTAGAATTTATAAAATAAAGAATAAAAAATTCAAGGACTTAATTAAAAATAAGGTAAACTTATAAGGACTTGATGAAAAAAAAAAAAACAAGTGCAAGGACCTAATTAAAAACATATGAAAGTATAAGGATTTGATAAAAAGAAAAAAGACTATAAGGACCTGATTCAAAATTAGTTAAAATTATAAGGACTTGCAGATTAATTAACCCTGTTACAATTGGGTAGTCTCTCGTAAAAATCAAGGTTTGAATGTTAACGAGAAAGTTGTTTATATTTAGTATTTAATAATATTTTAAACAGGGTTATTTTCAACAGAAAGAATATTTGCTTAGCAAAAAAGAAAACTCAAACATTTATTTTAATTTTAAATATAAGATATAATTTTATCTTTTAATTTTATAATTTCTTAAAGTATCCGTATTCATTGCTTATAGTGAATGGAATTTTATGAATAGATAATTACATTACACGTTATTAAATAAATATTTTAGAAAAATTAATGTTTAATTATCATAAATAACTAATTTAGTTAATTTTGTTAATATTTATAAATTAGTTATCTAGATCTTATATTAAAAATCAGAGAGAGTAAAGAGGGTATACTCCCTCTGATCTTTAATGTAGAATCTGTATAATTAATTTGCAAATATTAGGAAACTTAGTTAATTATTTGTAAAAGAAATATATTAGTCTTTTTAAGATACCCTCTTTAATAATCACTCATAGTGAAAACTGCTTTTTGATGAAAATGTTCTCACTATGTAAATTTAATATGGATAATTTGAAAAAATAATTATAAATTTAGAAGATGAAATAAACTGAGGTTTTACAAGTAAATCTCGCTCTTATATTAAATATAAGAATAATTATTATTTTATGAGAATAACCAAAATAAGAAAAGAAAAGTGAGACCATCGCCTCCTATCATTTGTTGTGTTGTCTCAGCATCCACATGCTGCCAAAATCTTCAAGCATATCCCTAGCCTCCTCACAGCATATTCTCCACCCCTTCTTTTCGTGACAAAATTTGCATCACCTTCAATCCCATCTCAACCTCTTGAAGTTGACAATCACAACTTTGCTTTTTCTTTGTTCAATTTTACCAGTTTATAACTTAATAAAAATTTATGTAAACCCTTCATTATTACCCACATCTCCCTTTACTCCTATCATATCTTTTTTAGTCTGATGCAACGTAAAAAGATATAACAGTGAGCATTTATAGTTAAAGGTGGGCTCATGAAATTGTCCACCTTTTCGGTCCAAGGGAGACGGAAATTGAGAAATTGGGAAAATTAAAAATTAAAAGCCCAAAGCAATGAAACTTCCGATTTGGTATGGGTTATTAATTTGGGCTAGACTTATAAGTCAGATAAGCGGCATGGCCCACTTCTTGGAACCTGCACAATGGCTCATTTTTGGGCCCATTTAGTTTGGGTTGTTGACTGGGCCCTTGAACCTGTTTGTTTAATTACCATTTCAAATGCAATAATTGTCTAGTGTCTACAAAAGTACAATAATTACTAATAGGGTTGGATCTAGTGAAATAGGTTTATCCCTCAAGATGTGGTGAACTAAAATTTAAATTTTTGTTGAGAAAAGTACGATATTCAATACCCAATAGGATCTCAAATAATAATTAAACAAGTACATTATAAAAGGTTTTACATAATTGGTTCAAAGTGGTAGTGTAAGTTACCTTTAAAGCACATTCAAATCTGTGTGAATGTATAAATGTTTTTAAAAAAATTATTTCTAATTAAATTTAACTGTACTTGAATTTGACTTGATCAAATAGCTATATTTAAAAAAGGATTTAAGTTGTAATTTTAACAACAAAATTTACCTCAAGGGGTACTATGTACCTTAAGGTTTACTTGAATACAAAAATATACATGAAATTGTTAAAATGGGGCATTTGGCACCTCACTATTAATGTCTGTTAGTTTACTGTTAATAGGGCCTATGAAGTTAGTTTTAAGGTATATTTTTAACAATAAAGTTTACATCAAAGGGCATTGTGTATCATAAAGTTTATTTAAATGCAAAAATATACATAAACTTTCTAAAAAAGAAAAAAAATAAAAAAAATTTATCAACTCTGATAAAACATCTGTTAACTTTGGATATCCTTTTGGGTCTCACCAAGTGTTGCATTTTTCTCCATCAATTCCTACTTCCAAGTCCACCACTATTTTTCTCATCATAGTTAGCACACACTCCCTGTCATGTTATTTTCTCAACCTCTAAGCTTTTTATATGTATTTACCCAAGATGTCATCTTTTCCTTCTAAAATACAAAATTCATTGCTTGCATCCAAATACTATCATTGGTTTTTAATATAAGACGTAGTTAATTAATTTGAAGATATTAAAGAAATTAAAGAAATTACTTTAAAATATTATATTTATCATTTTTCTATGAATTAATTTCCTTGGCTTATATACTAATATATAATCTAATAATGCATACAAATATTTTAGAGTGATCATATAATATATGCTATAATTAAATAATTATTTTATTTTTTAATTTTTTCAAATTAGTCTATTATACTAAGAAAAGGAGGAAGTAGGAATGAATGGAGAGAAATTTGATATTTAGTGGAACTTAAAAGAGTAAAGTCAACTAACGATTATTATGGAAGTTGATGAATTTTGTTATTTTTTTTTCTCATTGTAGAAAATTTATATATATTTTTGCATCCAAATAAACTTTATAATGCCCAGTGTCTCTTGACGTAAACTTTGTTATTAAAAATACACCTTAAAACTGACTTTATTGGTTTCACTAACTGTGTACTAATAAATGTTAACGGCGTGATACCAGATACTCCCTTTTAACAACGTTATATATATTTTTGTACAGAGATAAACTTTATGGTGTCTCATGTTCTTAAGATAAACTGTCTTGCTAAAATTACACCTTAACTTTAAAAAAAGCCTTTCGCAATACAAGTGCTGCTAACCCGGCATCATGATCTACTATTAGGTTTGTTATGTTTTCTGGATGATAATCCTCCGCTCTGCACATTATCGATCTCTAAGCATATATTTATATTGGTCTGGTTAAGGGTGGTTTGGCATGAAGGAAATGGAGGGAAGGAGAAGGGCGATGAAGAAAAGTTTTAATAGGCTCGATTTCAAAAATTATAGAAGTGAGGTTAAAAGCTTTTAATTGATTTTTATTATTATTTTATCTTACATCTTTTTTTTATTAAAATTTTAATACCCCACTTCTCTAATTAACTCATTAAAATTTTTCATCTACTCTATTTCCCTCATACTAAACACCAGGTAAGTGACTCCTCGAAGGCTTAATCTTTTGATTTTATTTATAGGGGCATTTTTAATAGATTGGGAAAAATCTTAAATTACATTAATTTTTTTAAAAAATATAATAACGTTAAATATGCTTTTTGAAAAATAACTATTTACATCTATTTTTGTTAAAGTTTAATGAAGGGAACCAATAAAAATCTTGTCCTACTGCCATAAATAACACCGGGGGAGTAAAACGTAAAGGATGGATAGGAAGTAACAAAGCGCAATCGTTTGGAAATTTCAACTTCTACATAAATATATTACTTAGTGTTATCAATAAATGCAAAACCAATGCACGTACATAACTTAAGTCTTACAGATATGGAGGACACCCAACGAAGGACCAACCCAGCCCACAGATTGAACGATTGATTAATTTAGTGAATATCATACTACTGCCGGATGCAGTTGTGTATTTCTTTATTGGTGCACATCCACCGTTTTCCCCTGCCCCAACAAATCTCACATTATTTATTCACTTCCCACTTGTCCAAGTGCACTCAATATCCTTCAAATTGCTTTATCATATCCTAAACGGACAATCGTTATGAGTAAATGAACGTGTTGCCCACGCGCTTTCCCTTATTTTATTCTTCAAACTTCAATTTCATTATTATTTCTACTTTCATTATTGTCTCACAAGTAGCCATCTCATCTTTGGAAAATATATCTTCCAACTTTCAGCTGGACCCGGGTCTTCAGTCTTACCAAATTTTTTTCTATCTTTTCTCGTACGTTCAACCCAATTCATGCACACAGAAACTTCCTACAAACATATACCAGTTCATTTTTATTTGAATAAAAAGTAAATCTAGTTTATTTTATTCCTCCCCTGAAATGATCATTCTAGACTTTCCTTCCCCTCTTTCTTAGAGCATATAGATTCTTTTCACACTAGCACTATAAATTGGTCCTCTTTTTTCTGTCCTTCTGTGTCTCGATCTATATATTGAACCGTCTTTACATATTTTTTTAGCACCAGTTGGTGATAGATTATCATGTCAAAACCCCTGTATTTCATTGCCGCTCTCTCCTTCTTCTGCCTCATGCGCAGTATTGTGGAAGTATCTTCTTCTTCAATATGTTCCCCCTCTGCTGGTTGCGGTAATGGAGTTCCCATTCGGTATCCTTTCTGGGTGAACAACAATTCCGCCCAAGAATACTGCGGTTACCCTCATTTTGGTCTCAAATGCTCCGAACATGGCCGACCCATCATCAGTCTTCCAAACGACAAATACTATGTCACAGATATAAACTACGATGATGATACAGTAACACTTGTGGACACGGATGTGGTGGACCAAACCTGCCCCAGAGCACGCTACAATGTTAGCTTAGAAAACCTCCCACTGAGTGTTAATAATCAGCTGAATATGAACCTGACTTTCTACTTCAATTGCAGCGTATCTAATAAAGTCAATAATCTTCCTTCCGACCCCATACGGTGCTTGAAAAATGAAGGATCGAAGCAGTCATATGTCGAGACGACGCCGTGGGACACATATGGGCTGAATATAGAATGTGCGGAGAAGGTGGTGGTAGTAGTGGCGAAGCAGGGACAGATCAGTAGTGATACCTTGGCAACTGGGTTTCGTGAAGTTATGAGCAAGGGCTTTGTGCTTGATTGGCGGAGAGCCATGGATTGCTCTGAGTGTGAGATATCTGGAGGACTTTGTGGGCAAAATCCAACCAATCATAAGACGCTATGCTTTTGCGGGGATGGCAGTATCGCAACCAAAAGCTGCAGCAAAGGTAACTTCTCTTTCTTGTAATTGATCCCATCTGCATCTCATATCTCTCTCTCTCTCTAATTTCCCGTTAGTGTCTTTGCACATAAATGAAGTGCGAGGCTTAAATTTCATATTAATAAGCAATTTATAGCAAGTAGTTTTCAGCAGTCTGTTGTTGATTTCACGGAGAATTTAGACCGTCATATCCTTGGTCTTTGATTTGAATAATCTCTCTCTCTCTCTCTTGCTCTCTTGTTGTTGTTGCATGCATGAATGAAATCTGCCATTAATTTGTATGCACATGGAATGAAAGGTAAATTATTAGCACTATTTCTTCTGACATGGTTTGCCCTGTGAAAACTATGGTAGTAGTTACGTGTAGATGATGAGGCGGTTTTGATGAAACTGTGCCTTAACATATAGGAAGCTCAACTTTCAAACTGACTAATGACTGGTACTATCGTAAGATTGAGTTTTCTAATTGGGACCACTCTGTGGCTAAGTTGTGTTCTGTAGTCTTGCCTGATCTCACGCGGCAGAGGAATTCTTTAGACATGTGGAGCCCAATTATTGACCTCATACATGTGAAAGCCCAAAACATCTGAGGCCCAAATAGAAACGACATAGCCCAATCGAGGCCCTATTGGAAAGAAACAAAAAAAACGAAGGAATTGTTGGTGAGAAAAGAGCCATATTTTGATATTTTTAAAAGGACGACTAATAGATAAATGGGCAATTAGATACCTTGACTCTTGACTGTATGACTAATAAATAAGGAATATATAATGGTCAACAGTTTGAAATGACATTTGATGGACCGCTTGTATATAAAACTCGTTTTGTTTAATGTCTACCAACAAATGACACAGTATTTTATGTGGGAGATAATTGTTTCAAAATAATTAGTAACAGAGAGAACCCTTCATCTCTTCCATCAACCTTCGTCTTAAAATCACCCCTCGTGCTCTTTTTTTATTATTATTATTTGGTCATACGCCGTAATGTTATATAAAAGTCCAGTCTCATATATGGAATGGTCTAAGGTTCCACGTTTTCTGCGTCATTCATAATATTCGTATTAATCCAAACCAGTAGGTGTGAAGCTAATGGGTATATGAGCCGTCGTCTCCAATTCGTGTGCCCTTCAAGGAGTTACAGCCATCTAGATTGAGCCTCATGAGGCCAATTACATGCAGGGTTTATAGTTTGACTTTGATTTAATTATATTCCCGTCATCGCTATTGGCCATTCAAACACAGAGCTCCGTTGCAATCATGCCGTACATGGGTCCTCCTAATTGTCTTCTTCCCTCTCAACTCCTCCTCTTCAAGACCTTCCTCTTCTTCATTCTCTTGTTCCCAGAATATTTCGCCATTGCTGATGAACGGTTCTTAGATTGCGAGCCGTTTAACTGCGGAAACTTCACCAACCTTAGTTATCCATTCTGGTTCGATTCACGGCCTGAGTATTGTGGGCATCCAAGCTTCAAGCTGGATTGTGAAGGAGACAATGTTACTATGAACATCGCGTCCCAGAATTTTCGTGTCATCGATGTCAATTCAACCACTAGAACTCTTAAAATAACAAGGATGGATTTGTGGGGCACTGACTGTCCGAACGAATTCAACAACATCACGTTGGGTTATGCTTTCTTCAACTACACTTCCAGTAATGTAAACTCTACCATATTATATGACTGTGAATTTTTAGACTACACGCCTCCTCCTGTGAATCTATCGACTAACATGACATTTGATTGCCCCGTAAATGGTAATCCTCGCAAAGCATACTTTATGCTGATCAGCGATAGATGGTTTAACTGGAGCGCTCTGGGATGCGGAATTAGTCTTACAGTTCCTGTTTTTGGGGAGGCAGCTAGAAGTTTCATGGAGGATCCTGTAGATCCTAGTCATGTTATAGGTCAAGGTTTTGAGGTTAAATGGGAACTAACAGAAGAAGTGCAGTGTGAAGATTGCAGAATTTCAGGTGGGAGATGTGGGTACGATGTAAGTTTTGGTAGATTCACATGTTTCTGTCCTAATCAAAGCTATGAACAACGTGGGTTATGTTTTCCTGATGACCCAGTAGAGGCACCAACACCAGAACCCTTGTTGCAGTCACAACAGAGTATGTTTTCTTCTTCCCTGTTTCACAAAACGATGATCCTATTTTGTTTTGGATGGTAGCGTTTGATTTTCTTAAACAGGTTAGGTAGCTTTACCCTTTCACAGATTAAATTGAATTGGTTGGCTTAGCATATTATAATATGCAGAATAGGACTTTCAGGAAAAATAAATTAAGAAAGAAGAGGCAGCTATGTGTCAAATAATTATTGGGCATCACGTTTTAGGAAGCACGAAAATATGAACTTTATATCTTGACGATGTTGTTGTTGCTGTGTTTTTGTTAGTAGAGCTGCTAATTCAAATTTGATCTCATGGTCTAGCTCATTTACGCTTCCTAAATCTTAGGAATGAGATTGAATAAATAAAGATTTTAATCTAATCGAGCTAATTTTGTTATAGGAAGAGTAGTGTGTTTGTGTTATGATGAAAATGATGAAAGAGATGAGATTCAATATGGTTTAATATTTTGGCATCGGTTTAGCATAATGTATTATGCAGAGCAGGATGTACATCTAGGAAAAAAGCTAAACTAAGCAACAAGTTACATGGCATTGAAGATAGGAAAAGGTAAAAAATTCCGTTAGGTTTGAAATGAGTTTAGGTGCTCATCTTAAGGATGAGCATTCAGAGCTCATCTTAACTGGACCATGCAGATGAGATTTAGATAGTCAAGATTTATTTTTTAAAATTTTTTATAAATAATTATTTTAATTCCGTTAGGTTCTGTCACTTCTCCTCATCCTCTGTTTTCCTTTAACTGTCAGAATAATAAGTGACTAGACACTCTTATTCTCTAACGTAAGGAATCCCCATAATCGCATGCTTCCATGCACACTCTGCAACTCCTTTTTCTTCTACCTCTTGTTAACACCGACTCTGCCACGATCCCCGAGTTCAAAAGATGATCACAGATATCGTACCCTTTCGGGGAAGGAAACCGGTTCCATTACCGTGGGAGAGATGGTTTCGAAATCACGTGCGTATCCCCTAACATCGCTTCCATCCAACTTGGCTCTCAAAACTTCAGCTCCATCGATTTCAATCCCTCTCGTTTTATCGTCAAATAGTGTGAAAAGACATCCCAACCTACGACAATTCTTCTTTCCGTTTCGCCAACACTTCTTTGGACAACACTCTGTTTCCTTTCGATCCAACCATTGTGAACATGACCATATTCTATGACTGTGCCCTTGGGTATTCCATCGGCTGGAACAACATCACATGCAGGGATGATAGAGAAAAAGCTTGCTTTTTTGGGTCAATTTCTGTTGCCTCGATTCCCAGAACTTGTTCAACACTGTCGGGTTCAACTTCAGGAGCCGGTTACATGGAGTGTCATTGTGGACCCTTTTGGTGGCATTGCATAGTTGAAGACTCCTTTGGATAACGTTTAATGTGCAGAATATTGCAGACTACAGCAACTGTAAAAAATGAATGGAATCGTTCTGCGACTTGCAAATCAGACGGACCTTGTGATTTGGCCTGTCCTGCTTTTGCAAGTATGGCTTCTTTCTCTGTTCGTTCTATTAGGCCATTGCTCTGCGACATGCAAATCAGTGTTCTGTTATTGTCATGGGCGTTTTTTATTTGTTACATCTTTAGAGATCACTTAGAAAAACTCCTTGCTAGTTTCCAACAGAGAATCATAGATTTTCGAGTACTCTCCACGAACAAGAGTTAATGATGTCACTAAGGAGACTCTCTGAGGCACTCATGATTCATTCTTAGGAAGTTAGATTTTTCTGTATTTTATTTCAGTTCATTCACTTTCACATTGTTAATTAAGCCTTTACCTTGTTTGATAGGAATATTTGATAGTTGAAGTCTTAACAAAATTGAAAGTTATTAGTCAAATAAAGTACCCAATCCATGATGAAACAAACCAAAGGCTTGGTCGCCCTGTTTGCTCTTATATGATTTATCTGCTATAGTACCCAGCTCGTTTTTATTTACCAGTAATCCAACTTTTCTTGGTTGTAGTACGCTCAAATTAAATTTTAATGAGGTAGCTTTAATTATCGATTTGAAAATTTATCATATTTTATACCAAAACAGTATCTACATCTACAATCAACCTTAAAACCTTTGAACAGGGAAAAGAAAAAAGTTTTTAATAGGAAAAAAATAGAAATATAAAACCACACATGTAGGAAAGAGAAAACCTAATCATTTACAACTGGAAATTTCCCCAATGTGACCATATTTAAATATGACTCCTTAGTGAATTATAAAAGAAAGAGAAGTGAGAGGGAGAGAGAGTATGAGTTGGAGACAAAATAAATAGGGATAAAATAGGAAATCAATACAAAAAAATAGAGACAACTTTTAAATGTTTTTTATATATGAGAACATGCTATAAGCATCAAATGTCTCTTATAATAAGAAACTCTCCCGGTATGCGCCTCTTCACCTCCTCTCATTTTTTATGATTTCAGTGTGCATTCATTACTTCCCAAATTCATACTTAGCTATGCTATGCTTGAGGCTGTGATTGTTGCGTCTTAATTATTAGTACAGAGATGCCTTCATTCAAATTGATTGCCTTCAATTGGATAAAAGGGGATAGACGCCCAAGCGGCTTGTTTCCAGTAAAACTCAATAAAATGGAATCCATCTTCTCTTGCGCTTATGCTTTAACTTTTCTTGGGACGATCAAGTTTGACACCTTCAGCATCCTTGGTTCCTGATGAGGTCTTCTAGCAATCCTCCATCGCTTCTTTTCTTTCACCCCGAGAATGGCCGAACTTTTCCAGGCGGGGTCGTGCCAGAGTGGCCGGTAATAGATTTATGAAAATCAAAATAATACTTTCCCATTCTCCAAAAAAACAAGGTGTTTAAAAACTTTAAAAACTGATGTTGGCAAATTTTTTCCCCCAAAAATTAGTTTTTTTCCGGAGAAGTTAAAATTAATATAGTTGCTTTCTAGATTATTTATGCGTTTTAGAATTATAAATTGTTAGCTTTTTAGATATGATAAGAGCATTGGAGACTTGTAATGTTAAAAAATAAATAATGGTTTTTAAAATTATTCATCATAATTTTATAAATTTTCAACAATAATTTTATTTTTAATTAAATTTAGTTTAAAACTATTTAATTATTTTTTCATATAAATCCTAAATCTCATTTTTATCGCAACTTTATTTCATAGAGAGTTTTATTTTGCACTTCAATTTTTCCAGTAACAAATAATGTGATGCCATAATTAATTTGAGTTCAAATGGGATGAAACTCTTCCAAGCATGTGTATAATTTGAATGGGTCAAGGAACGTAACCCACATTCTATTTACTTCTCAGCAGGGTTGGTTTGACTTTTCTTTTCAAAGATTCTTTCTACTCTCTCTCTCTCTCCCTCTCTCTCTCTCTGCGTGTTTTCCCTTGGTAATAAATTTCTAATAATTTTTGTTCAACATTCATGCTTGAGTTTGAATACTAATTGTCAGATGGCGTCTACCGCGGAACATGCATGTCTCTTCACTGTGTTGTGCATAAATTATGGACAAATTTTCTTGATGAGAAACTTAGGGTCATCGCTAATAAAATAGCTTTAAGACGTCCATTACAAGTAAAGAAAATGACTTGTCCAGGCTAGATTACTGAACGAGGGCAATTATTGGTCTGGAAACTGCTAAATACTGAGGGTATTTTGGACATTTTAGACGTCAACCAAGTAGTTTCATTGACTTGCAAGTCATCGTCTTCCGCGTTTCCAGTCCAACACGTCTTCCTTATCTTGCAACACGGCCAAATAGTTAACTTAGTTGGGATGCGGAGTGGGGCTATCCAAAGAAACAATAGTGAAGAGGGCAATTTAGGTTCTGCGCTGCCACCATTATTGATGATAATGGCCACATCGCTCCTACTGTTTCTTCTCTGTATGGTCTAACTTCAACCGCATCAGATGGGGCCTCCATACTTATATTGCAACTTTGCAAGATAATGGATATAGTTTGCAGTGAGGATTTTTAATTGGTCCTTGCTGGTCCCTTCCACCAGAAAGAATGAAGAAAACCTTGACAAGTCCACAAAGATGCTAAGAAGTTCAGGAAAACATATATACAAGATGATCTACTAGGTCTGGTCCTTAATATAGAAGTTAGATAATTAATTTACGAATATTAAGAAAATTATATTAGTTATTATAAGTAATAAATATTGTCTTTTTTAAAATACCTTTATTATTGATATTCATTAGAATAGAAACCTTTTAACATATACAATTACCATTATGAGACTATTTTAAAAAAATGAATAAATATGGGAGACAAAATAAATTAGGATCTTATAATCAAATTAAATCGTTAACTAACTCTTATATTTAAGATCAGAAATAATATTATTTAGCACCCTGACATCGATTAAAGACCTGTCCATATCTTATCGATTAAAGAAGCTTTCCTGCAAAAGCTTCTTTAATCGACAAGATAAAAATGTGTAAGGAAAAATGCCATCCCTTCTCTCTAGGATAATTACAACTTTATTCAATTTCTAGTTATCTAGGATCCCGAGATGTCTTTTTCTAACAATTATACCAAAGAACCTATTGATTCCCCCACTTGCGAAGTAGGTTTTGTAAGAGATGTCAATCATCGTTTTTTTTGCCCCCCCCTTTCTTGCAGCTTTCACGAGGAGACACTGTATCGTAAAAACTATTCCCATAAGTGCCAGCTCATGACTGATGTGATCAATGTGTGAATATATGGTATTAATAATTAAACTAGCTTGTCGAGCTACAGCTGAAATTTTAAACTTGGCGTTTACTTTGAAATGGATTGCACCTGAATTTGATTTTCGATACTGTAAAAAGTAGTAGACGCTGTGGTTTTCTTAAATATAAATTCTGCTGCTTCTATGAGGATACAACTCATCTCAAAAGTTAGTGGTAAATGTTAATGCATTCATCTGCATGTCATGATTTCCCATTGCTAAATTGGATAACTTTTTTATCTCTGTATCCTTTGTTTTGTTCTTTCTTAATATGCATATTCTAGCTAGTATTTAACCCCACTTTGCTTTCTTTGTGTGTTATTGCTGGAACAGGACATTCAATGAGAAATAAAGTCATTGTAGGTAATAGATCTGCTTTTTGTTCTTTTCTTAACATACTTTGTGTTTCGCTATAGTAGTTTCTTTGACAATTACATTAACTTAAAGTCATTACCATTCTGTACCCCAGGTGGCGTTACTGCTGCAGTCGTTGTGCTTGTCATGCTCACTCTCTTTTATTTCTATCAACGTCGAAAGAAGACCGGTTATGCAAAGTCATGCATACAATCACGTACTGCTTCTTCTGTTTCCTCCAAGAAGATAGAGGATCCTGAGATTAATGCAAGTAAATATTTTGGGGTCCTTGTCTTCACATACAGTGAACTTGAAGAGGCCACTAACAATTTCGATTCAGCCAGAGAACTTGGAGATGGAGGTTTTGGAACAGTATACTTTGGTAATACTGCGAATTTAGTCCCTCTAGAATCCTGACATTTCATAACTGTCAGTACTGACTTTCCTTAATCTTATGATGTATCATGTCCAGGTAAACTTCGGGACGGCCGTTATGTTGCAGTGAAGCGACTGTATGAGAACAATTACAAGAGAGTACAACAATTTATAAACGAAGTTCAGATCCTGACACGCTTGCGTCATACACACCTTGTGTCCCTCTATGGCTGCACTTCTAGGCACAGTCGCGAACTCCTTCTTGTATATGAGTACATTCCTAATGGAACAGTCGCGGATCATCTTCATGGCGATCGAGCAAAGCCAGGCTCACTGCCTTGGAATATCAGAATGAACATAGCTATTGAAACTGCAAGTGCTTTGGCATACCTTCATGCCTCAGACATCATCCATCGAGACGTCAAAACCAACAACATCCTCCTGGACAACCATTTTGTTGTTAAAGTTGCAGACTTTGGATTGTCCCGTCTCTTCCCAGAAGATGTCACCCATCTTTCCACAGCCCCACAAGGAACTCCAGGCTACGTTGACCCAGAGTACCATGACTGTTATAAGCTCACTGACAAAAGTGACGTGTATAGCTTTGGTGTGGTTTTGATTGAGCTGATATCATCATTGCCAGCTGTGGACATCACACGTCATCGACAGGAGGTCAATCTATCCACCATGGCAATCAACAAGATCCAGAACCGGGCACTGCATGAGCTGGTGGATCCTACGCTCGGGTTTGAGTCGGATCAAAAGGTGAGGAAGATGATTAATGCTGTGGCAGAGATGGCATTTCAGTGTTTGCAAAATTTGAAGGATATGAGGCCTTCAATGGAGGAAGTTCTAGAGATGCTAAGGGATATAGAGAGTGATGGGAAGTATAGGAGCAAGCCGGAGGTGATGGATATTTCTGCGGATCATGTTGGGTTGCTCAAGAATGATCTGCCTCCGCCTTCACTTGATTCTAATTTGGCAAGCAACTCTACAACTTCAAATTCTAGCAATTGAGTGGTGATCTTCTCTCTTGCTCATCTCAGCAAGTTAACCATCATTTGTGGCAGTAGTAGCAGCTAATCTTCCTATTCTCAGTCTCAAGTTTCTTTCACCCGCCAGAGTGGATAGCTAGGAGAGGATAGGTGTATAGAAAGATAAAAGTTTCCCTGTTTATAATTTTGATCTGTGAAGGAGTTGGTTTTAAATAAATCCTCATCCCCCTCCTATTTTGATCTATTTTGAGATTATAGTGGAAATATAAGTTTAAGCACACCCAATGTGTTAATCCCAAAAAATAAAATAAAATAACCCCAATGAAGAATGAAATGATGCCAACAAATCCGGCTTTATAGAGTTATCTCATAAAATCATATAATCCTCCAAGTTCTAATCTTACAGGGGAAGACATGACAGCCTTTGGATACGCTTCTAGTGAACCTCAACTTCCTTTAAAAACATGAACATAGAGAGAGTGTTAGGATTGTTTTTGGAAAATTAGGGAAATAGGAAAAGATGCTTTTGGGGGTCAGAACCTTGACTTTCTATTTTGGAGAAAGGGGTGGAAAATTAGGGTGGCTGTAGGGTGACCAAGGTCAAAGACTATGAAGGGTTGTTTTTGATAATGGGAAAGTCACCTTTTTGAGTCTATAAATCAGTTCCTTCATTCAGCAGGAGGTGTGGAGAATTTGGAATTGAATTTGGCCTTGGGGAAAGATCATGGAAAATCCTGTAGATCCTAGTCATATTATGGGTCAAGGTTTTGAGGTTATATGGGAACTAACAGAAGAAGGGCAGTGTGAAGATTGCAGAATTTCAAGTGGGAGATGTGGGTACGATGTAAGTTTTGGTAGATTCACATGTTTCTGTCCTAATCAAAGCTATTAACAACATGGGTTTTGTTTTCCTGATGACCCAGTAGAGGCACCAACACCAGAACCCTTGTTGCAGCCACAACAGAGTATGTTTTCTACTTCCCAGCTTCACAAAATGATGATCCTAATTTGTTTTGGATGGTAGCGTTTGATTTTCTTAAACAGGTTAGGTGGCTTTCCCCTTTCACAGATTAATTGAATTGGTTGGTTTAGCATATTATAATATGCAGAATAGGACATTTAGGAAAAATAAATTAAGGAAGAAGAGGCAGCTCTGTGTTAAATAATTATCGGGCATCACGTTTTAGGAAGCACCAAAATATGAACTTCATATCTTCACGATATTGTTGTTATTGTGTTTTCATTAGTAGAGCTGCTAGTTCAAATTTGATCTCATGGTCTAGCTCATCTACGCTCGCTAAATCTTAGGAATGAAATTGAATAAATAAAAATTTTAATCTAATCGAGCTAATTTTGTGCTATGGGAAGAGTAGTGTGTTTGTGTTATGATGAAAATGACGAAAGAGATGAGATTCACTGATTCAATATGGTTTAATAATTTGGTATAGGTTTAGCATAATGTATTATGCAGAGTAGGACGTACATTTAGGAAAGAACTGAACTAAGCAACAAAGTTACAAAGCACCGAAAGTAGAAAAAGTAGGAAACTCCATTAGGTTCTGTCTCTTCTCCTCATCCTGTCTTTTCTTGTGACTGTCACAATAAGTGGTTATCGAAAACACCACTAGACACTCTTATTCTCTAACGTAAGGAATTCCCATAATCGCATGCTTCCATGCACACTCTGCAACTCCTTCTTCTTCTTCTTCTACCTCTTGTTAACACCAGCTCTGCCATAATCCCTGAGTCCAAAAGATTATCACAAATATCTTACCCCTTCCGAGGAGGGAATCGATTCCATTATTGTGGGAGAGATGGTTTCGAAATCACGTGCCTGTCTCCTAACATGGCTTCCATTCAAATTGGCTCCCAAAACTTCAGCTTGATCGATTTCTATCCCTCTCGTTATATCGTCAAATGGTGCGAACGAACACCCCAAACTACGACAATTCTTCTTTCCTCTTCACCAACACTTCTTTGGACCCCACTCTGTTTCCTTTCGACCCAACCGTTGTGACCATGACCATATTCTATGACTGTGCCCCCGGGTATCCCGTCGGCCGGAACAACACCTCGTGCAGAGATGATACAGAAAAGCAAGATTTCTTTTTGGAATTTCTGTTGCATTGATTGCCAATATACTAGTTCTACACAGTGAGGTTCACCTTCATGTGTTTCATTCTCATGGCTTCTTTCTCTGTTCCTTCTATTAGGCCCTGTAGTTGCTCTGCGACATGCAAATCGGTGTTCTATTCTTGTCATAGAATTTTTTGGTTTGTTACATCTTTAGAAAAACTCAGTACCCTCCATGAACAAGAGCTGACGATATCACTGAGGAGACTCTGAGGCACTCATGATTCATTCTTAGGAAGTTAGATTTTTCTTTATGTTATTTCAGTTCATTCACTTTCACCTTGTTAATTAAGCCTTTAGCTTGTTCGCTGGGAACATTTGATAGTTGAAAAGTCTTAACATAATTAAAAGCTATTAGTCCAATAAATACCCCATCCATGATGAAACAAACCAAGGGCTTAGTCGCCCTGTTCGCTCGTATACGATTGGTCTTCTATAGTACCCAGCTCAGTTGCCAGTTGGGTTTTCATTTGCCAGTAATCCAACTTTTCTTGGGGTGTGTTTGGATGAAACCAAACCGTGGTTTGAAGAATAGCTTCTGGAAAATAGATTTTGTGAATGATAGATTTTGTGAAAAAGTTATTCTGAGAAGTGAGAGTGTTTGGATGACATTTTACCAGAAGCACTTTTTATATATGAAAATTACCAAAAAGGGCATAAGTTAATATAATAATTATATAAGGGATATTTTTATAATATATTTTGATTTGAAGAAGTAAAATTGTTAATGAAATAATTTTTACTCACATAATTAATAATTTATAAGATAATATAATTAATAAATAATTAATATGTGTATATATATTTATAAAACATAATATTAAATATATTTATAGAAAAAATGATTTTTTTTTGGCTAACAGAAAAATAATAATTTTTTTAAAGATTTTAAACATAAAATCTCATAACATTTTTTCACAACTAATTTTTGTAATAACAAAGTACCTCCGATGTTTAATATAATTAATTAATTAATTGTCACCACATGTATATATATTTATAAAACATAATAGTAACAATATTTTTGGAGAAGATGAATTATTAAAATAAGTAATAATTGGCGTGAGAATATAAGATTTAATGTTAATAAAAGGAATATAAATAAAGAAGTGTCATAATAATTAAGATGCTGTATCGATACAGAGTATTTGTAATAGGTTTTTTTTAACTACATATTACAATCTATGATAAAAGAAAATAAATAAAACATGACTACTCTTTTTTTTTTTTTAATGTCACTCATTTTTCTATCACAGAATCTGCTAAACTCTTCATTGAAATGCCTCGTTCCTTTGTTCAATACTTCCTCCCAGGTTAATCCATGAAGCATGTTATAAGATGTGAAGTTCGCCTCGCATCGTTCCATTGGGTTTAGTATGCGATTTGATGAGTTCTTTTGGAACCCCACAGATTCAAAGTCCTCAAACAAAGTTTTGTTCAAGAGTGCTTCTAGGTAGAAAAGCAGGCTTCTAGGGTTCTTAGCGGATGAGATTTTTATATCGTAAGGTTGAAGAAGAACGGAGACTCTCTCGTGAACTTTAGCTCCCATGTGCCGAAGCTGCATAGTGAGAGAACGACTGAGAAGCCGGACTGAAGACCGAGATTCAGAGACAGAGCACAAGAAACGTTCGACGACGGTGTTTTGGTGGCTGATTTGACGGGAGTTTTGAGGATTCTCCATTCTGTAAGGCGACGAGTTGCTGCATTCTTCAAGTCCAGATTTCAAATTTAGGCAATACAGCTCTAGTTTGTTGAGTTTCTTCTCTAATTCAAGCACGGAGTGTTTGAGCGTCGAAGCTTCTAGAAGAGCCTCGTCCCTCTTTCGAGTTGCCTGAATCAGTTTGTGAGATAGCTCCGCCACCGCGATTTTCTACTGCTCTTCTCTCGTCGTCACCGTCATCGTCGACGGAGCCCTGGTGGGCTTGGGACTCTTCTGCGTCAACGTGAAGAGAATGGACTTGAAAATCCCATTCGGACTTGCCAACAACGACGAGTGCTTGTTTGGCCCGTTGTTATCGAAAGGAATGACGGAGATTCTCTCCTGCCCGTGCGGCCGGCACTTGTTGCACAAAACAGAGCCATCTTCTCCGTCGATGGAACCTTCAGACTCAGACCATTTCCGGTGATTGGATTTCCCATTACTCTTTTCTTATAGCATCCGTAAAACGGGTTTATTATCTCTCCCTCTCTCCCTCTCTTTTCTTATAGCGGAAGAGTGATCGCCATGCGAGCAGAGCACAGCGAAGAGAATCGCGAGCACAGCAGAGCGAAGAGAATGCGCGAGCAGAGTAGTGAAATGCCGTTGCCTTCAATTATTGGGTGTCGACCAGCTGTAGATTTCAAGGGTATTTTTGGGTCAAATGCCGTTGCCTTCAGTTATTCAGCCAGAAGCGAGAATTTCTTGCTTCTGGTGAAACCATGGTTTCACCGGTGGAAACCATGGTTTCAAGCAGGACCACGGTTTATGCAAAATGTCTGCCTGTTTGGATGACATTTTGTACAAATCATGGTTTGGCCTTCCAAACCATGGTTTCCAGTGTCATCCAAACAGGACCTTGGTTGTAGTACGTTCAAAATAAATTTAATGAGGTAGATTTAATTATCAATTTGAATAGATATCATATTTTATATCAAAACAGTATCTACAACCAACCTTAAAACCTTTGAACAGGGAAAAGGAGCAAGTTTGTAATAGGTAAAATAGAAATATAAAATCACACGTTTAGGAAAACAATGCTTAATCTTCATTTACAACTGAAAATTTCCCTAATGTGATTATACTTAAATAGTGACTCCTTATTAAATTATAAAATATTTCAATTTTATCGGTATAAAAATATTATTAACAGTGTTGGTATACATAATTTATAAGAATTTAATGGTATCATTTCAGTATTAAGATTGGTTTTTATAGTGAATCAGTAGTCTCAAGTACAGAGTAATTTGGAGATACTTTGAATTATATCAGGGAAAAAAAAAAGAGATTGTTGTTAGAAAGAGTAACGGAAGTTAAGAAGGGGGGCCACTAAAATAGTCTGAAAATGGAGAGGGGAAAGGGAGTGGTTGCTTCCTAATGAGCATTTGCAAGGAGGACATTTTCGCTTGTGGCCGCCTGGAGTACGCATTGAATAGTCAACACCTACGTTT